CGCCTTAGAAATCTTCTTTCTTTAACCCTTTAATTTTTTGAAATTTGTGTTATTTCAAAAAATATACGATATATATTATAAATGATGCATCTTATATTTAATAATTTATTGTAAATTTGTGTTTTTCCTTCATCAAAATTTTGATGATGCAATATTGTGCCATGTAACCATATAGTATCATATTGTAAACAAGTCATTACACTGACATATTCCTGCTGATGCATGCTGGCCTTCCCAACAACGAGGGACACACTGGCCTGCCAACACTTGTTAAGACCTGTCGGTGGAATTGACCACTGATTAGTTATAACTTGCATTTTGTGTTTTTATTTGGAAAATAATGTAATCACTATGACTTTACCTCTGGTATACAACAAATAAGACATGTACAAAAGGTTTTTCAAAATTTTCTTTTCTTCTGTTCTTTCCTTACGCTTCCACCACCACCCCTTTATTTTTAGCCAAAGTCCTCCAATTGCACCCAATGTTACTACCACCCCCCATCATTCCAGTGGCTCTTCAGGGGACAGTATTACCCACTTTGGGAACCTCTGGGGTAGAACAAACTTATAAAAATTAAACAACTCCTTTTTGGAGTAAACTTATATTCTATGGGTGAAACAAGGACACAGCAAATATATAGCATATATATAAAATTAAACACAAATATATGTGAAGTAGGAAATAAAGAGTAATTTGAAAGGAAGGACATTCAAGTTGAGGGGAATAAACAAAGGCTTAATGAATAAGATGGTGCCTAAGCTGCAACTTAAAGGAAGATAGAGGCTCTGTGAGACAAAGGTAATGAGTGAGTGAATTCCAGTCACTGGGGAATGGCCAGTACAAAGGTACAAACATCAGAGTTCTAGTGTTAAGAATGAGGAACAGAAAAAAGCCAGTTTGGCTGTATCACAGTCATTTCTTCCTATGAACACAAGCCAGAAGTGACTACTTTCCATTGCACTCTTAGTATGACCAAGATTTTAATACTTTTGTAGATGCATCATCTCATTCAATTCAATCCAATTCAATTCAATTCAATTCAAAACAGAGTTGTTCATTTAATTATATGGGTATTCCATAGAATGTTACAGCCTATTTATGATTCTTATCCTCTGTTATTCTTATTCATAACCCCTGAAAAATAATTGTTCATAGAGGATCTACCAAATATGCTAGATATCTTCTTCAGGATCTCTGACTATTTTTTGGATATGTCCTTCATTCTTGCTACACATTTATTGACTCCGTTTATGGTTATGCATGTCTTCCATGCTGTTTATGCCATTTCCTGTGCATGTCATTATTGACAATGTACTGCAACCTTGTTAATTTTTTTCATTTTAAAATATTTTAGTTTTTCAAATTACATATAACAACAATTTTAATATGTTTTTTAAAAAATTGAATTCCAAATTCCCTCCCTCCCTTGCACTCTCATCCCCTCCTTATGACAGCAAACAATTTTATATAGGCTATACATGTGCAGTCATGCAAAACATACTTCCATATTCATGTTGTGAAAGAAAACACAGACCAATAAAAACACACCCAAAAAAAGTAAAAAATGGTATACTTCAAACTTCATTCAGACTCCATCAGTTTTTTCTCTGGAAGTGGATAGCATTTTATCATAAGTCCTTTGGAATTGTCTTGAATCTTTGTATTGCTGAGAAGAGCTAAGTTATTCACAGTTGATCATCATACAATATCGCTGTTACTGTGTACAATGTAGTTCTGGTTTGACTCACTTCATTTTGTGTCAGTTCATGTATTAGTTCATGTATCATGCATTAGTTCCAGGTTTTTCTAAAAGCATCCTTTTCATCATTTCTTGTAACATAATAGTTTTCCCATAATAATTTTATACTATGATTTGTTCAACCATTCCTTAATTAATGGGTATCACCTCAATTTCCAATTCTTTACCCACACAAAAAGAACTGCTATAAATCATTTTGTACACATAGGTCTTTTTTCTCTTTCTTTGATCTCTTCAATATGCAGACCTAGTAGTGCTATTGCTGGGTCAAAGGGTATGCACAGTTTTATAGCCCTTTTGGCTGTCCAGAATGACTGAATCTGTTCACAACTCTACCAACAGTTCACTAGTGGCCCAATTTTCCCACATCTCCTCTAACATTTGTCATTTTCCTTTTCTGTCATATTAGCCAATTTGATAGTTGTGTGGTGGTACCTCAGAGGTGTTTTACTTTATATTTTTCTAATCAATAGTAATTTAGAATATTTTTTCATTTGCTTGACAGGAAAAACTGATGATGGTGGTATGGTGTTTTCCTGCAGGTGGCAATCACATTGTCACAAGCCTGTTGTTCACTTCTTTTGGTAGGCATATAAGCTTGTTGACTAGATTAGTTTTGATTGTAAATTCAAAGTGTTTTTATGATGTCCTGAAGGCTTTTATTGGCCAAAGACCTATGATGCTTCTCAAACACTCAGTGCTGATCGAGCCACATTGATTAGTGTTAAGGACATGGTCCTGGAGAGATGGGCTAAACACTTTCACAGTGTTCTCAACACACCATCACCAATCAATTGTGCTGAAGCCATTGACCATTTTCCTCAGGTTGAAGTCAATCCTTCCCTAGCTGCAGTTCCAACTGAAGAAGATGTTTTGAATGCCATTAGGTTCCTTTCCTGTGGCAAAGCACCTGGCACTGATTCTATTCCAGCTGAGATTTATAAGGTGAGGGGGGGATTGATCATACAAGAGCTGACTAAAATTTTCCAGGTTATATGGCAAGAGGAAGCTCAAGCACAGCTCTATTGTCAATCTCTATAAAGGTAAAGGAAATAGATTGTCCTATGACAATCATGGGTGTGTGTGTGTGGGGGAATCTTTCTCTTAGTCATTGCTGGAAGGATTCTTGCCAGAGTCCTCTTTAGTTGATTATAATCCTTCACCTGGAAGATGGTCATCAACCTGAGAACCAGTGTGGCTTCAGAAAGGGCTAAGAAATGGTCAGTATGGTGTTTGTTGCCCAACAATTCCAGGAGAAATGCCCAGAACAAAACAGGTCTATACACAATGTTTGTAGATTTAACCAAGGCTTTTGATACTGTCAATCACCAGGGCTTAGAGAAAATCATGTCAAAATTTGATTGCCAAGAGAAGTTCCTCACAATTTCCCAACACCATACTCACCTGGGTTCTGGAAAATGGACAATGCTCTCCCATTTTCTCAGTCACCAATGGAGTGAAACAAGGCTGCATGCTTGCTCCCATGTTTTTTAGCATGATGTTTTCAGCCATGTTGTCAAACACCTGCAATGAGGACAAACATGGTGTCAAAGTCAGCCACCACACTGATGGTAAACTCTTCATTTTGAAAAAACTACAAGCCAAGACCAAAGTGAAGGGAGTGGTGGTACATAATTTTCTGTTTGCAGATAATTGGGCCCTCAATACAGTCTCTGAAGCTGAGTTGCAACAAAGTATGGATCAATTCTCTGGTGCTTGTGCTAATTTTGGCCTAACCATTAACACCAAGAAAACACAGGTGCTTAATCAGTCAGCACCACACCATCCATATGTGGAACCATTGGTTACAGCAAATGAAGAAGTTTTGAATGCTGTGGATAAGTTCACTTACCTTGACAGTGTACACAATGATATTGAGATTGACACATGGATTTCCAGAGCTAGCTTAGTGTTTGCGAGGCTCTAAAGAAAACTGTGGGAGAAAAGAGATATTAGATTGACTACCAAACTGAAGGTCTACAGAGCCATTATTCTGACTTCTTGTTGTATGCCTGTGAAACTTGGATCGTATACCAGCACCATGCCAGGAAACTGAGGTGCTTCCATTTGAATTGTCTTAGGAAGATTTTGAAGACTACCTGGCAGAATAAAATACCAGACACTGAGGTCCTTTCTTGAACTAAACTGCCAAGCACTCAAACTCTAGAGAAGGCAATTCTGATGGGCTGGCCATGTTGTTCAAATGCCAAACTTACACTTGCCAAAAAAACTACTTTATGGAGAACTCACACAGGTCAAGTGCTCACATGGTGGTCAGAAAAAAAATGATACATGGACACTCTTAAGATCTCTCTTAAGAACTTTTGAAATGATTGTGTGACGTGGGAGACCTTGGCACAGGAATGCTCAGCAAGGCATGTCCACATCAGAGAAGGTACTGTGTTCGATGAACAAAGCAGAATTAAAACATCTCAAAGGAAATGTAGGATATACTAATTTAGACAATCTACCCCAAATATTCATGTAGACTATTTGTACCTGACCTGTGGTAGAGCATTCTGAGTTCATATTGGTTTGATCAGCCACAGTTGGACACTCTGTAACTTGACTCTGGCATAGTGATGTTATTTTGGTCCTCTTTGAGAACGAAGGACAATGCCAACAAGAACAAATATTTGTATGACTGTAGATAGCTTTGATTTCTTCATCCGCAAACTGCCTGTTCATATCCTTTGACCATTTATCAACTGGGGAAATGACTCGTCTTCTTATCAATTTGACTCAGTTCTCTATGTATCTGAGAAATGAAGTCCTTATCATAGAAACTTGATGTAAATCAATCCTTCCCCCCCCCTCCAGTTTTCTGCTTTCCTTCTGATCTTGGCTGCTTTGGTTTTGTTTGTGCAAAACCTTTTTAATTTAATGTAATCTAAATTATCCATTTTGTATCTAGTAATCCTCTCTATCTCTTGTTTGGTCATAAATTCTTCCCTTATGCATAGTATATCTGACAAGTAAACTATTCCAATTTATGTCTAAATCATGTACACGTTTTGACTTTATCTTAGTATATGGTGTGGGATTTTGGTCTATATCTAGTTTCTGCCAAACTCTTTTCCAGTTTTCCTAGCAATTTTTGTCAAATAGTGGGTTCTTGTCTCAAATTGGAGATCTTTGCATTTATCAAACACTATATTACTACAATGATTATCTATTATGTGTTGTGTACCCAATCTACACCACTGATCCACTGCTGTAACTCCTAAGTCAGTACCAGAAAAAAATAAAATGCTGCATTAATTTGCATGTCATCCTTGTGCAGGGGACATGCTAATCTTCTCTGTAGCATTCCAATTTTGGTATATGTGCACCTGAAGGAAGCACTAACTGCAAATTTCTCTGTTGCCTTTTGGATTATCCACAACTGTGATTCTTCTGAGGTCATGGTGTTCTATGATCTTCAGCTGGATTAGTACTACTGGAAGAGTACTGGTATGGAAAGCATGAGTTTTGGTGGCAGGAACTAGTTTCAGCTCAATTAATGCACCATAAAATGTGTGAAATATTTGTCAAACCTATCCCTTCTTCCAATTTGGCTTGGGGCACAAATTGGCAGTGATAATTCAAAAATAGATGTAATGATGTTATGAGATAGTTATCCAACTGTTTTTCATACTCTGAGTAAAAGGCATTTTTCATCTACTTTGTTTTTGTTTTTCTTGTGTGGCTTGCAAAACTGATCTCTTTTGAGTGACTGTGGATCTCATATATCCATGGTGACATATGGATCTCATATAGTTTACAAAAAACTGCAGACTATGAATGACCACTTGGAAACATGCTCCATATTACTAATAGGAAAGGGAATAAAAATTATAACTATTCTGAGGTTATACCTGACACTCTTAAAATTGGCCATGATAGCTAAAAAATAAAATTGGTGACAGTCAGTATTGGATAGGCTCCAGAAACCATACACCCAACTATTCTCCCACTACCCCGAAAGCAGAGAGAGAAATTGAAATGTTCTACTCTGCACCTCCCTTAAAATCCTGACCAATCTTTTCTTGGTGCCTCTGTCCTACCCTATCCTCTCTCAAACCAAAAAAGAGTTCTCAATGCCTATACTATTTTTTAATGCTAGAATGGTATTTCTCTGGAATATTAATTAACTTCTACCTATTCTATTATACTTTCCCAGTTCACTATTTTTTTGGTTCCTTATTTAGTCCTTCAATATTCTTTTTTTAAACTCAATGTTTCATAGACAGTAAATGAGGAATTTTTTTCCCAAATATTTTTTAAAAAGTGGAAACTCCTCTGCTCCATACTCATGACCTTGTTTCATCTTTGCTACATAAAGATATTAATTTCATTTCTTAGTCTTTCATATCTATGGAAATGTATTTAACTTCTTTGTTTTTGATCAGGTGTTGTGTGGAATACTCTGTTCACCTTCCTGTTCTTTTGAAGAAAATGACTAATCTTACTCTCTTTTGCTTAATATCTAGTTATTGTATTTGACTATTATGCTCAGTTTTGCAGGATATGTCATTTTAGAGAGTATATCAATATTATATTCCAATTTTTCCTTTGATTTTTTTACTAATGAGAAGCTGTTCTGTTTTATTTTATCAATTGCCTTTGGACAATGTTAATTTTTTTTAACTGGATCCTGCAAAATGTGCTTGCTGTCATAATTATGAAATTTGTCTATGGTGCTTCCTGAAGAATTAAACTTTGGACCACTTTTAGTTAGTTGTCTGTGCATTCTTTTATTCTGTACTTTTACCATCTAGTTCCAATATTTATGAACAATTTTCCTACATGAGTTCCAAAAGTATTATGTTACTCAGATTTTCTTTTCCATTTTAATATTGATTATTGACATCATAATTGGAGATGTAAATTAATCAAAACAATAAGAGGAAATTCACTCCCAAAGCAGGTGCAATGAAAGCTGTTTCCTTTTACAAATGATTGAACATGATCTTGGGAGCCAGGGCAGATTGTAATTACATAAGGATTATTCTTTGAGCATATGGATTCTGCAGCCATGAGATAGAAGCATGTAAAATGAGGAGAAAGAAATAGAATTAGCCTGAATGTGGCTTATGCCACACATATACTCATACTTATACCTCCTAGACCATAAGGCAGACAGTGTGAGACTAGTACAATAATGTCTAAATTTAAAACAAAATAACACTCACAAGATGCCAAAATCTTTATACTTATCAAGATAAAACAGTCTATGTTTTTAAACCACCAATCACTCCTCACTAAACCTATTTCCTTGTCTATAGAATAAAGAAATTTGAAGACCTTTCAGTCCTTAATCAATGTTCTTACAATCTCAGAAATGATAAAATTTGAAATGACTCCTCAATATAGAATATAATTTAGACAAAAATCTTTACTAAATTGTACAATTCTAATTAAATCAGTGTTCTTAAGCTTTGGATCTCCTTGGGTGGTTATTGAAATATCTAGGAGGATATTATATGTTGTTTATTATTAAGTACTATAGTATTATCATATTAAGGATTTTTATTATAGTACTGTGTTCCTAGGCTGGAATTTTATTCACATTATGGTATTACATTTGTTGGCTTATCAGGAGTAATGGTGGCAACTTTGTGGTTCTTGCCAACATCTTCTTTCATATTGCCTCTTGTCTGAATGGTGGTTTCCATTACAGTTGATTCATCAACCATAGAAGTGGAAATCCATTGGAAACCTTATGGTTTCTATAACTTCCTTAACTAGTTAAGAATTGGTTGTTGATGAGGAGAAAGAAATTACTATAGAAAAATATGGAGGAAATGAAAAACATCTTTGGCATGGTTCAAAGTGGAATAGATAGTATAGTCATAGAACAAAAAGAAGTGTTTTCTTATGCATTGCCTTTTTTCTGGAAAACCAATAATCCTGCAATTATATTTTCACATCCAACATCAAGTTTGGTGTTTTTTATTTCATAACACTTTCATTTATTCTTTAAATTTTGTCTAATTAATCTTCCATTTATCTTTGCATTTTTTATTCTCTGTTTTCTCTTTTCAGAAACTCAACTGCTTTGGAAAAAAATATCTTTTTATTTTGTTCTAAATCCTCTCCTTTCTTCTTGGAGGTATTAATTTCAACCTCAAGAGCTATATCCTAATTTCCTTGATACTTTCATTTAATTCTTTCCTTACTTTTATAAAACACTCTGATGATTTTAAGAGCTATTCAACTGTCATTTCAAGGATCCTTGGAAAATTTGTTGTTATATCCCCTTCCTCAGTGGATTTTTACTCAGTATCCTTCACTGCAAAATATTTATTAATGAGATGACTCTTTTCTCCAACTACGTTTTTTTCATTTCTCCTTCTTAGCCAAATCATACTTATCATTATCAATCACTCTGATAACTTTGGTGTCCTTACTACAAATATATTATCATAGGTCCTTTCCATTATATAGATGCAAATTATTGTTCTCTCATGTTTTCTGTTCTTTTAACCCACTAAGGCTGGTGAAGGCCTCTGGCCTTCAACGGGTGAGTATTATCTATTGATATACTAGTAGTAGGAGATCAAGAGACCACTCTAGTGGGGATTATCATCTATCTTTCCTATTTCAACCTATTTGGGCTCCACTATCCCATCTGTCCTCAACTTCAGTCCTTTTTCTAATTCGAGGGAGGATCTTTGCAAAGCAGTTGGGGGATATTGCTAAAAAGAAACTCTGAGAAACGTTTATGATTGTGTCTCTTCTCTATCTCTTACACCTTCTGCTAAATGCCTATTTCCTCTTGCATAGTAGTAAATAATTATCACCAGAAGCACATTCCTCCTGGACTCTAAAGTCCTCTATGACCATTTAATTTCCCTTCTCTTAATCCTGACAGCTGTAATTCATGGGCCTCAAACCACTCTACAAGTGGTGTCCTTATTTGGACACTATCAAATGGTTAACTGAATTTTTTTTTTTATATTTAGACGTCGAACTACTACAAAATTTGTGAGGATATTGGAGAGGTTGGAGGTGATAGGAGGAGAGGGGGAGAAGTTCTAGGAGGAATGAGATGGTTTTCATTTGATATTATTGGGTTTTTTTCCTATAAAAATCGCCTTATACTGGTTTCTTTCAATTTTATCCTTCCTGTTGTTTCATTTTTGTTGCTTTTGGAATGATTTTCTTGTTTATTTATTGTTTTTAGAGGAAACAGTGCCCTATATTTCCTCTCATCCTGCCATCTTCCCAGGATTCCATAAAGATTGAACATATGCTATGATAGGAGTAGCATCTAACAAGGTTAGAATGTCCTTGACACATAGGGAAGTTTATTTTTTTCTCCAATGAAACTATGGTTTTTCCAATTAGACTTTTCTTGATATCTAATTGGTCCAGAAGACTAAGGCTCAAACCATTGCTGTAGTTTTCCTGGTGCATAAGACGTAAAAGCCTAACATATGATTAAGTAGTCAGTGGTCCTCAATGCATGATGGATGGACCACTGCCTTTACGGCAAAACACAATGGACTGAACATATACCACTATGGCAAATTCAGAGATGAGAGGAATTGCACCCAACTGAAGCAATCCATTAGAAAACTTCCTTTTCTCAAAGGTTTATGTCCTTTCATTACAATTCAGAGCCTGATTCATCTGAGTCAGGTTGGGTCCAGAACACAAGCTTTAATCATACTCTACACTTTATTCTAGGAAATGATATGAATGTGAAAGCTCACAGCACATTAGATCAGAAGGTGTACTGTGGATCATTATTGTTGTAGTCTGGGAAAACAAACAAACAATTAAACAGAAACAAACAACAACAATAAAATCTTTTTTTTTATGCCTAATTGTCATTGTCCTAACCATTCGCTTCCTCTTCCCTGGTATGTCTTGTGTTTTCCTCTGTCTGTTCTCTGGAAACACATATGTCTGGAATCTTCTATTAATGGAACCATTTTGACTGGAACTTCCTATCTTCAAAGCTAATTGATTTCTCTCTCATGGTGATTTTATGGGTCAGGAAACCAATTAAACACATGAAGAGAGTCCCATCCAGTGAAGGGCTTGTAAATGTTTAACAACCTGCTTTCTGGAAAAGCATAACTCTTTTACATTTAATTTTCCTTATTATCATTTTATCCTTCATTTTCTTAAGTCTAGACAATGAAAAAAAAAGTCAAGTTCTGATTTTTAGCATTTCCTCATTTCTGAGCTACAGATATTCACACTGAATATTGTACTATCAGCTCTTATAAGCTGAATTAAGCTGGCTCCAGCACACCCCTAGTCCCACTTCTCCCTACAAAACAACTGGTCCTTTTTACCTTTGCATTTAAAAATATTATCCTGAGAAGGGGTCCATAGACTTCACTAGACTT